TAAGAAAAGCAAGCTGGCCCTCTCAGGCCTAGCTTGGGTCTGCTCCATCTGGGCTTCAGCTGCCAAGCACCACTCCTTTCACAAAGGCCCAAGGAGGGAGAGCACTGGCCTGCCTCACCCCGAGGCTGCTCCTGACTCTTGGGGAGCCTACCCAGCCTTGCCAAGAGCCTGGCTGGCAGCAGCAGCAGCAGCAGCAGCAGCAAGAATCTGGCCCGGGCCTGGCCGCGCTCCTGCCATTGTCAACAAGGCCTTTGTGCCTCGCCGGCTTTGAGCTGCTCTCCAGTTAATCATCTCAAGCTGCAATGGACCGCGGGCAGCAGGAGCAGCAGCCTCAGCCAGCCCGCCTCGGCCTTTCTTCTCCCAGCCAGCCAGGCAAGCAGGCATTTAAGCGGACATACATTTCCTCCTGGTACTTCGCAGAGGCGCGGGGAATGTCAACAGCTTGGTAACCAGGAGGGAGGGATGGGGGGACGGGGGTCCCTCTCTCCTCTCTCCATAGCGACTCTCCGCAGTGACCCCCGTTAGCATGAAAATAGCCTCCTCCAAGCGACGCGGGAAGTCTCCAGGCTGGGGGAGGGCAGGCGACGACGCGCTCGGAGACAAGCTCCCTTCAGCTTTTGCACCTAAGGAGGGCGCTTTGCGCAGGACGCGCGGAGGTGGCTCCACAAGCCAGGAAGCTGGGGGGGGGGGGTAGAAAGCTTACACACCAATCGCCCATCAGGGCAGGAAAAGGAAGATCAGTCCGTGGTGCCATGGGGGAAGGGGCTTAGGGAGGATGCCCAGGCGCTACTCAGCAGAACCTAGCAGGGCTGTCTTATTTGGGGCAAAAGGGAAGTAATGCACTCGAGCATCCATCCCCAAAGCGCGCGCGGGGAGGGACTATGGAGTCTAGAGCCTAGATCGCCTCACTGCATCACTGCTCAGCATGGAGGAGGGAAATTACCATTAAACAGACACGTGTACACGACCCAAGGTGCCACTGAAGAGTTACTCTTTTAAAAAAAAAGAGAATATGTCATCGGTGGATGTTTGTGCCCTGACACCGGAGTCCCACACGTGTGTGTATACGGTATACAGTATATATTAATTCTGAATTAAGTCCGACTGCATCTTACGCATGTTTATACAAAAGTCAGTTCTAGTGTTTGATGCATTTTTCAGAGAAGTAACTGGGATCGCATAGGATTGGATGTGGGCTTTGCGACCCAGCCTGTCGAAGTAAATTTCACTAAATTCAGTGGAAAGGACTCCCAGGTAAGTATATGCACAGCGCTTCATCCTTCAGTTAAGAAAACACACCCAGAATACCGGAGTTAACTTTCCACCAAGCGAAAACCTAGCATTGGGAGAATTTACTCTGAATCCACACAAACTGCGCTCCAGGAATTCTTCCCCAGGTTTCTCAGAGCCTAAGCGAATGGTTTATAGATTGCAACTGAGTAGGATCCTAAAGTAGGATCCTCTTGAACACATGTTTTCCACATAACTCACTTCTAATAAATAACTTTAGGACAACACCCTATTACTCTCTCTCTAAACAGGAGAAGTAAGGCAGCAGTAGAGAGACAGTGTGGTGTAGTGGTTAAGACCTGGGCGACAGGGTTCAAATCTCCACTCAGCCATGAAGCTCACTGAGTGACGCTGGGACAGTCGCAGTCTCTCAGTCTGACCTACCCCGCGGGGTTGTTGTGAGGTTAAAATGGGGAGCTCCTTGGAGGAAAAGGTGGGATATAAAGAATATAAATAGATGCAATATATTCCCACTTCATTAGGAGTAAGCCTGACTGAATTCATCAGGACCTACTTCTGAGTAAACATGCAGAAGCTAGGGCTACACATCAATAGAATTTATTTGCAAGGAAGTCTCTCCCCCCCCCCCCCATTAGGGTATGTGTGTGTGTAAGACATATTTACACTTGGAACATTTACTTCTCAGCCACCCCACTGAACTCAAGGGAGGCACTCTAAAGTCAGTGATCTGGAGATTTCATCTCTGCCTTGGCTTTAGCAGGAGGTTATTTGATAAGGAGGCATTCTTGACCAGCATGATCCAGGACCTCAGGGAAGCTGAAGCTCAAAAAGTATTCGTATTACTTTCAATAGAGTGGTCCATACTAACACATTGTTGGGAAGGAGCGTTCCACTGAAATCGGAACGAATTATTTTCATCTAAAGACTGTGGCCTGGAGTGGCCTGTCGGCTTAATTGATTCGCGACGGAAGCCTTCCCCAGTAAATCAGGAATTCTGTTTTAAGAGTTGTACTGTACAACAGCTAACACATGCAGATGCGTGTTCATCATCATTTGATCACCGTAGTCTCGACTGGTGAAGTGCGCCTGAAAGACCGACCACCGACCGAACCACCCATTGAAAGGTTTTCATTATTACCTCAAATTCCACGCCTTTCAGTGAAGGCAGTTCACCCTAGCATGCACATTACTTGATTAGCTTTGGTATATTCAGACGTGCCTGGCAGCTGAATGTGTGAAAAGTTCGAAGTGATGCAGTACTATTTCCAGGCGTGTTAGGTTTTTGGCCACCCATTCACACGTGCATTTCGCCATTTCGGGAAACTGTCTCTAAAATATGAGCTGGGATGTGCGAGACAGCCCTTAGCTGCTGGTTACCAAACGTTGAGAAATCGGATGGTGAGGAAACCGACTGGCGCACAAAGTACGTGTGAAGGTGTGCTAAGAAGTCTCCGTGGTGCTCGATTGGCGGTGGCGCACATCTGAGAGTAAGTCTAACCCCCTTAGCCCGAATCAGTCCCCCCCCCCCAAATCCCCCTGGAGTTTTGTATTAATGCGGGACATATGTCATCCCCAGGACCAGGGCTTTGCCCCGCTGGTCGAACTTGTTGCGCCAGTGACGAGGTGGTTCTCATCTCCGCATCAAAAGCGGCCGTCTTTCTTCAGCCGGACGGGCAAAAAAGTGAAATAAAATGCCAGAAGCGCAATCCTCGGCCCCCTTCACTTCAAAAGCCGCTATCAGGGAGGCTCCCCGGCGAATTTGCCTGCCTGCCTTTCATTCCCCGCTGGAAGAAGTGGGGGGTGGGGGCGTGCGGGTGGAAAAGCCCCTCCAACAAGGCCAGGGCGCTGCTAATGCGCTTTGATGGGGATTGAATTCATTATCTCCAATAACACAATTGTGCTCGGCCAACGAAAAGAGCAAAGTAATACTCATCTAGAATTAGAGCGAGGGGCTCAGAAGAAAAGGGACGGAGGGGCCGTTTCAAAGGGAGCAGGGGCGAAAAATGAGAAAACACCTAGATGGACAATCGGCTCGGCGAAGGGGGTCCCCCGGTCTAAAGCGCAGAAGTGTATTAAGTGGGCCATTGCGAGGATCAAGGCGCGTTGGTGGTCCCTGACTGCGCATTCTTGCCTTGGCCGGCCAAGTCGAGGCGAACAAGGCCGGGGTCTTGACATTTCCTTTCCTCCAGAGAGTGGGGGGGGGGACTTAGACCTCGCCCCTCCCCGCCCCACCCGTCTAATCACATTTACTTGGGAAGCAGGAGAGCCGGACAGAAAGGAGGAGGAGGAGGAGGAGAGGCGGGGGTCCTGTCTCTGGAGCGCAGCCGCTATGGGCAAAAGAGCGAAGTTGGGAGCGCGCCTCTTCTCCTGCAGGAGCGAGGAAAGATACAGCTGCGGCAAATATGAACAGCTCAGTTCTTTTAAGCATCTGGCTCAAGCCTTTGATCCGAAAGTGAAAATCTTTAGTTACGTTCAATGGTCCATCCAAATAAAGTGCCACAGTCAATAAGATGAATTGGGCACGGGAAGGAAAGTATCCCGGACCGCTCCCTAAAGCAGGAATGGGCAACTTGTGGGCCTCCAGATGTTGTGGGACTACCACTCTTAGCATCCCTGATCCATTGGCCGTGCTGGCTGGGGCCGAATCCAACAACATCTGGAGGACCTGAGATCTCTCCTGGGAGGATGGGATTAAAACAGGGATAGTCATCTTGGTGCCCTCAGGTGTTGTTAGAGACCAATTCCTGTCAGCATTGCCTATTATTGCCAGGAATAATGGGAGTTGTATTCCAGTAAGATCTGGAGGGCTCCACGCTGGGTATCCCTGGATATTTTGGAACTAACTAAACAAACAGCTTCATATGCGCTTTGGAGTGGCTTTGGGGCAACCCCTGGAGGCCTGGAATGAGCCCCTGACATGCACTTTAATTCATAACCGAATATCCCAAGCGTCTCCGTGGAATCAGGGCTAAGCGGGAGGAACTCTGTCCTTTGCCCCAAACAGCTGGTGTGGATCAGGGGCAGGAAGGAGAACTTGTGAGCTGGGGACAGACGGACACAAAAGGGCAGGAAAGGCGAGCACAGATGAAGCTGCAAGAGTCTTGGAGTCCTGAGCAAGAGCTCCACTAACTCCCCCAAAGTGTTAAACCTGATGCCTCTAGAAAATAACAAGAAGTTTATTTATTTATTTATTTTTAAATGAAAAATAACAAGATGATGATGAAGAAGAAAAGGACTCTGTCGGTCAATATAAGCGCAGGTCTTTTCATTTTAATTACTTTCCATTCCAGTCATAGGAGCCCATTCCCAGGGGCTAGGGTCCCTCCCCCATAACATAGTTGAGGGAGGCCCCCCCCCAGTTGATAGTCATTGCCATTCAAATGGTGTGTGTCTTGTGATCGATTATGCAGAGCGGGGCTCCCCCCAATATTTTATTCAAGTTGGCACCTTTGATTCCAGTGAATGTCTTTCATTGGAGGCAAGCAGTTTCCCAGTACATAACTTTGAATGCGTGGATAGCGCTCAGCAGCCACTTTGTTCATAAACGGTGGTGGTGAGGATCTCGATGGCAGGGATGCTGCGCGCAGAGGCTTTTGCAGGCGCTTCAAACCGGAGCGCAACGCCGAGAGAGTAGAAGGCGAGTCTTCTTTCAGGAGCTGGACGGCGAAAAGCAGCTCAGAATGAACCCGCTCGGTTCCTTCCACGTTTGGCCTCTGCTCGGTCAGGTGGGTGGGCCACACGCCCGCGTCTCCTCGGGTCGGCGCCTCGCTGCCAGAAGCCCCCCCAGAGCGGGCTCCGTCCAAAGCAGCCACCGCCGCGGCTCTCGGCAGCGAAGGACAGTTTCCCGGCGGTGCCCCGAGGGACAGCGTATGCCCTGACACCCAAGTCTTGCCCGACCGCTTGAAAGGCCCTCAGCCGGCGAAGAAGATGGTGGTAGGCAGGTAGAGAGAAGCTCCCCTTTCTCGCAAGGCCTCGAGTGCGCCGAAGTGACTGAGCCCTCAGAGACAAGGCCCTGCTGGGCGCAGCAGAGAGCCAGACCCGCAAAAGCGCGCGCTTGGGGCCTAGCAAACGCCTCCGAGCCTCGTCGTGGCACTTGCTTTTGCGCGCTGCTGAGACGCTGAGCGCAACTCAGGGTGGCTTTGCCCTCCATTTCCTCCCGTCTTCGATTTCCTCTCCCTAGGGTCCAGTCAGTGCTGGATTTACCTATAAGCTAAACAAGCTATAGCATAGGGCCCCACTCTCTTGGGGACCCCAAAAAGATTTAAAGAAGAAAAGACCACTGGATGTACATTTCCAAAATATAAGATAAAACCTACACACAGCAACAGTGGCAAATAGCCTTATATACCTGTTAGGTCCATAAATTACCACATAGCGTATATTCAACGCAAAAACTGACAATTTGTTGTTGACAAAGGACAGCTGGACATATAAAGGGCCCCACTACCTTCAGTAGTTTAGGGCCTCACCAAACCTAAATCTGGCCCAGGGTCCAGTCCATGGGTGTAGCCAAGGCGAGTAGGGAGAGGCAGCTAAAAAATGAATAAAAATATATGATAAACTGAGGTTCTCCCCCACAACAAAAGGCCTGCCCCCCCAATCCTGGCTATCGCCATGGGCCAGTTGCTTAAAATAAGAGCATCCTTGCCACTGACTTTCATTGGGTGGTAACATGGGATTTTTGTTAGGAGGGAGCAGGACTTCTGTTGGGGGTGGGCAGGGCAGAACTGAAGTGATTGGTCAATTAGTTATATATTTCTATTGTTTTACTTGATCTTGGGGGGAGCAGCTGTCCCCTGCACCCCCGTTGGCTACGCCCATGGGTGGGAACGACATCCTTACACACCCCCCCCATCTAAAATAAGTTAAGGGAGGCAAACTTCACTGAGCCTAACAGGCAACCAATGCTCACACATTTAAGACAAATTCTCAACTCAGTTGCCAAAAGAGGGTTAGCGAATTAAGCAAAACCATGTCCACTAGAAAACATACTGGAAGAGTAGCAAACAGTTAAAGTGTCTTGGTAGTATCATTTCATAAATTTCCAAGCCCTCCTTACGTGCAAAAAGGTCTATTAGAGCAAACTGCTAGAGAATAATGAAGTTTGGGGGTACACAGGAAATAAAAAATGCAGGCACATTTCTCTGGTTTATATAAAATACATCACATTTGATCATTGGAAAGGTGGGGATGCACTGTCTGAGCAGCTTCAAGATAAGGAAATTGAACTGGCACACGCATCTATGAACAGCTTCTGGTTGGAATCAAGGGAAAACCCGGGTTCTGCTGTTTCTAAATACAATAAACACTACAGTATTAGTTCCAATGCAGAGTATATGACCAAGATGATCTTCCACCTTCTAGGCGCCACTACTGGAGGTCTCAGGAACACTAAAGGAAAGCGAGAAGTAGGAAAGTCTTGACAGTCTTGACAACACAATTGGGAATGAAAGGGGGAAATATAGAGGTGGGAGTCCAAGGCCTAGTGGAACTTATTTAAGCATGTATAAGATTGCCTGGTTGCAGAACTCCAAAATGGAAGTGAAGAGTTTCCTCTTCGGAGTAGAGTGCCCCCTGTGCTTGTCTCACCAGCTAACTTATAGCTTCTGAAATGTGAGCGGGGATGAATATGGATTCAGTTGTGAGCTGAATGGTACCCTATTTGATCCATCCGCCATCTGAAATCATCACCCAAGGCCTTTCTCTAGGTGACCCCATGGTCTGAAGTGCTGCTGATGGCAACTGAAGAGAGCCTTTGCTATTGCGAATCCCTTATCTTTCAATAAATAATAATAATTATTATATTGGGGTCAGCGTGGAAATGTCCTTTAGGTGCCAGGGAAAAAACACTTCTGTATTCTTAAACTTTTAAGAACTAAGAATGTATGCAGTTAACTTGGAACAGCTGATTTTGGTGTCTGTTTGAATAAGTTGCTGCTGTTTGAGTTTGTTATTTTAATTTAATTGTTGGATAGTAGTTAGTGTGTTGGACTAGGAAACTGGGAGACCCGGGTTCAAATCCCCCACTCAGCCATGAAGCTCACTGGGTGATCTTGGGCCCATCATTGTGTCTTAGCCTAATCTACTTCACAGGGTAGTTGTGAGGATAAAAAGGAGAGAAATATGTATTCCACCTTGAGCTCCTTAAAGGAAATGTGGGATATAAATATGACAGCTAGAGAGATAGATACAGCAGGATTATGGAGCAGGATTTCTAAGTCAAAGTGTGTGATCTGAGACCAAGTCCCTTTCATTTGAGAAATCAAGCAAGGTGTGCAAGTCTTGGTCTGTTTCAGTCTTTGCAACAACAATCAGCTATCCTGCACATGTGATGAACACATCACAAGACTGGGCTTTATCTGGATTCCCCACCACAATCCACTCTCGGGGTCTGACACCGTAAAATATTCTTTTGTTCCTGGAATCCAGATGACTGAAGGCCCAGCCAAGGTGCTAAAGTGTCTCCTCCAAGTTGCTGAATTTCTTTGCTCCCCCTGGGACTTTATCTGGCTTAAATGCATAAATGCAAAGGGAATTAAGGTCCTCAGCAAGTTGCAAGATTTGAAGCTAACTAGAAGGGAACTCGAGAAAAGGATATCAGGATCCTTCATGGATTATGTTTTGGGTGTGGAGAAGAGGCTTAGAGTGGCTCCATGCTAGTCCCCAGTATCTTGAATGTTAATACTTTTGCCTAATGTTACCTGCATAGGTGCCTCCTGAGAGTTAAGATTAGAAGAAAGAACATTTGGGAAGGGAATTGAGAGAAGAAAAACCTAACAAATACTTTCAGAAGGTCAAATGATAAGGACTACCTTGTTAAGCTCATTGGGGCTTTGGTTACGTGTCAGATATGGCTGCAAATATGTTCATTCCCTTGTGCAGAGAAGGAGAAAGGAGCTTATTACATTTCAGCTCTTTCACCAGAGTTTATAGAACTTTAAGTGAGGACTAACCCAATGCCACAATAGTGCAATACCTTCATGAGGGTCAACTCAAAACCCCAAAATGATAAACAATCTTTTGAGTTCTCCAGAATAACAGGCTGGATGCTAAGCAAAAAAAGAAAAGGAAAAAGTGTGTGTATGTGAGTTGGGGGAGATGAGAATGGAAACTGGGAGTGGTGAAGTTGCGCTCCAGCTTTGCAGTTTACACCAGTCTTGAACTGCAATGCAGGGGGCATTTTGCAGACAACACTGGATTAGCCTCGCAAAGTGCAAGACAGCTTGTAAAATACATCCAGGGTTATTGGGACAAACAAGCAAAAATGGATGTTCCCTCATGTTTATGCATTTATATCCCATCTGTTCCTCTTTTTTCCCTTTTTATCCTCATAGCAACCTGGTGCAGTAAGTTAGGCTGAGAGGCAATGACTGGCCCAAGGACAGCCAGTGAGCGTCATGGCTGAGTGGGGATTTGAATCCAAGTCCTAGTCCAAGATTTCAACCACTACACCACACTGGAACTCTTGTCTTTTTAAAAAATACAAAATCCAATAGTTACTCAGTTTGGTCTCAAGCTTTAACTGGAACACACAGGTCCAGTAGAGATGGAAAACAAAAAGCAATGTGGGTATCTTTATATTAGCAAAGTTAGAGATTACTTTCTAGGTGCTGCCAATTGAGGTATCTGATTGGAAAGCATGCGACTCTCGGAAGGAAAGTGTCACCTTCAGGTAGTAGCAACCATCTCACTTCAGCTTCATGATCCCTGTCCTTGATGGTTGTATCCAGCAGTCTGAGACTTTTAAAAAGCAAAGGCAGCGGTTTGGGTCCATTAGAAGAAACAAAGGCACCAAAACACAGAGCAGGGTGATTCTTTTATGTTACAAATGAGTGAGCAAGTTTTCAATTTTTTTTATAACTCTTCAGGCAGGATGTCAAACAAAGTGGGTGTTTATGGGGGAGATGCAAGGGCTGCATCTCTCCAGACTAACGTGTCCTTCAGATAAAACCTAAAGCCAAGGTCCAAAGCTTTTTGCCATTTGAAATACCCGGCAATGTTTCACAAGATACCTTTTGGGCAAACTCCATGTTGGGCAACCGGGATTCTAGTCTTTTCTTCCAGTATTGCTTTGAATGACACCTGAATTCTCTGCTGCTTATTTTGCTATGCTGCATATCCAATATGTATATACTCAGAAATGAGTCCTGTGGATATCATTTAGGCTTGCTGCCAGGTTTGTGTATATATACACTTAGGAAAGAGCAAGCCCAAATGATCTAAATGAAACTCACTTTGTAGCAGACACACATAGGGGTTACCTGGTTAAAAAGTGGGAAATTCATTTGAGTTAGTAATTATTTGTGATATATGACTCAAAAAAGATGTACATAGGTATAGATTACTGTATAAAAGCCTGAGATAATGGTATTTTCACTTTCCTGTTTCCTTTCAGGGAAAGTACAGTATTAGACTTCGGTTCTGTCAAAACTGCCCTCTCCCTTTTACAGCACAAATCTAAAGCTAATTTACTACCATTTCTGATATAGGTTAGCAATCAATTTGGCAATGGATTTGTCCGTAGCATCATCAACAAACATCATGCAATCTTTTTTGGGGCGGGGGAGGGGGGACTAATGTGATAAGGAGAAATAGAAATCCTGGGGTGTAACACTTAGCAGTAACCAAGTAGTAAAGCTGTTGAATGGGCCTTATTCATGGCAGGAAATTATTGTGGATTCAGGTGAATCCAATCAGCAGTGACTAATTCCAAGTGTGACTTCCAGGGTGTGCAATCACCAATGGATATTCTCTGATCAGGTTGCTGTTAATGTGGCAGACTCCCACTTCCTGCAAGACAATGGTCTTTCGCTTTATAGATTACACTTGTGAATGCATCTGCTGGATAGGACACTGTAACCATCAGAAGTTTGTTCCTAAAGGTTAGTCTGAATCTCTTCTATTGTAATTTGAACCCTAAAAGCTTCATAGCTATTTACAAAAAAGAACATGAGAATAAAACTATTTGTGAAAAACAGTTAAAAACAACTTAAAATAATTAAAATCAATTATAATCTGAAAACCAGATTAAAACACATGGGAGTATTCTACATGTCTGGATATACTTGCCTAAACAAAAATGTTTTTAGCAGGTGCCAAAAAGAGTACAGTAAAGGTGTCTGTTTGGTGTCAATAAGCAGGGAGTTCCAATGTGTGGGTGCAGCTGCACCAAAAGATTGATTTCTTACAAACGCAGAAAGTGTATCATGTGGTACCTGTAGCAGTGCCAGGTCCACAGATCAGAGCAGCCCAGTGGACATATATATGATGTAAGGCGATTTAGTTGGGGCGCAGGACAAAAGGACAGTTCTGGATTTTAGGCTAAGGCTACTGCCATTGATCTCTTTGGAGGCATCTAGCCATTCTCAGCAGAGGCAGATTTAAGGCAGCATGACTGGTTCTGCACTGGACACAGAGCTGAGGGAGGTGGCGCAGGGCATCTCAATTATTATGCCATGCACACTCGGAACAGAAGGTGAGAAACTGGGGTACGGACCAAATTTTGGCTTTGCACAGGGCACTGCTGAAATTTGAAAGACTAAAGTCTGTCCCTTTTCTCAGTATGAGCTGGTTATAGAAAATATCTTGACAGGGTAGTCTAAACACTTGATAGTGTTTAGAAAAACTTGATTCATAGTATCATAGAATCTTAGAGTTGGAAGGGAGCCAAGGGTCATCTAGTCCAACCCCCTGCAATGCAGGAATCTCAGCTAAAGCATCCATGACAGCATCAACCCAACCGCCATTTTAAAAACCTCTAAGGAAGGAGAGTCCACAACCTCCCAAGGGAGTCTGTTCCACTGTCAAACAGCTCTTACAGTCAGAATTTTTTGTCTAGTCGGAATCTCCTGCAACTTGAAGCCATTGGTTTGAGTCCTACCTTCCAGAGCAGGAGAAAACAAGCTTGCTCCGTCCTCCATGTGACAGCCCTTCATCAAAATGTGAATGTCTGGATGGGAAGACTGAAATTTGACTGGTGGATATACTTGTGAATTCATGGCAGGGGTGGCTTGGCTGCGGTGTGCTGAGTGAAAGCAAGGCCTGAAAAGATTTGGGGGTAGTTATAGCAACCAGATCAGTCCCTGTCTCCTCTCTGCCCTCTGAAGCCCTTTCAGCTCCGGCTGCCAGAACACGTTTTTAATTAAAGCGTATAAAAATTTGTTTTGTCAGGCCTCTCACCATCCCATCAGTTTCAAAATGGTTAATGAGGCATCATCTCTTTTTGATGTTCAGGGAAGCATGGGGGACTACCTAAAATGGCCACCAAGAGAGTTATCTCTCAATCAGGATCCCCACAACAGGGAAAAAGCCACTAGCTTCATGCCACTGACAACGGGAAAGCTTCAGAAATGTGTTGCCCTTACAGAACTTGCAAGCCCAAAGTTGTAGTGAGCGTCTGTGGATCTGAAAGGGCACCAGGCAGCCTGTGACTCCTTCCCTCCCTCTTCCCTTTCCCCCCCAAACCCCTCTCCTCCCCTGATTTTCTGTGCCGCAGCAGGTAGCCTTTCAAATGGCCACCACAGGAGGCAGCAACTTCAACCAGGCAGAAGAGGCAGCCACTCCCTCAGGGGTGTTCTTATAAATATATATAAGAGAAAGCCTGGCTTGGCCTACCTGGTTTTTTTAAAGGATAGGCCCATTCTACCTAGGTATCATGATTTCAGTCTTCAGCCTTTTGTTTATGTTAAGCTAACTAAAAAAACAACAGAAATATTTAGAAAATCAGGTTTCAGATTATTTTTTAACCTTTAAAGCCCTTTTAAAGCATTTCTAAAACACTTGATAAGTTTAAAACTATCTAAGCAGTGTACAACATAAGAATAGTCGACAATATCCTTTACACAATAATACCTCATAAGAAAACCCAGTAAAATGGTAGTATAAAAGTTTATCCGTCAGGGAAAGCCTGGACAGAAAGATACTGTACTTTTCCATGTATAAGACCAGGTTTTTTTCTTTAAAAAATATGCTAAAATGTGGGGGTTGTCTTATACATGGATAGTACATAGGGTGGACGTTTGATTGGTGGCTGCCGCAGCTGTCAACAGCTATTCGGCGTGTTATTGGTTGCTGCGTCAATAGTTGTTGTTGATTGGCTGACGTTGTGACAATTGGGCGGGCGATTGGCAGCTTCTTCCAGCAAGGGGACACGACAGGAGGTGGATTTTTTGACACATGTGGGTGAGCGATTTTCGGCAATTCCCCTCAACAACTCTGTGCCATCTCCCCCCATTTTCTTAAAATTGAGTCTCCCAAAATAGGGGTGTCTTATACATGGGGGCGTCTTATAGACGGAAAAGTACGGTATGTATTTAAAAGAGGTCTGGAGCAGCTCCAGGAGCAAATAATTTTTCTTGAGGGACCTTGAAGTGGCCCATCAACCTTTCTCTCTTGGTAGCCAACTGAGCAGGCACCCTGGCCACTTGGCCACAGTCTTCTCTGCTGTGGTGAGGTGTATTATATTTCTATTCAGGTTAAGGTAATTCTGTATAGCCTTGCATCTATACATATAAAATAACATACACAAAGTTCGCACACATCTAAACCCTCTTTTATCCCTCTTTTTTTTTGCTTCTTTTTTCATGACATGTTTGTGACCACCCTACTAAGGGCCTCAGGGCGAGGGACTGAGGAATGAATTGGGAATGCTACACAAGTCCTCTTAAAAGCAAGAAGAGCTGTGCATAGAGCATATAAACTGATCTGGACTCTGCATTCATCATCTGAGGCCCTTCTTCATGTGCCTCCTCCATGGGAGGTCCAGAGGGTAGCAACAGGAAAATGGGCCTTTTCTGCAGTGGCCCCCTTTTTGTGGAATGCTCTCCCCAGGGAGGTTCAGCTGGCGCCTTCATTATATATTTTTAGGCGCCAGGTGAAAAACTCTTCAACTAGGCCTTTGGCTGATTACACAGCCTTCTAAATATTTTGGTTTTTTTTGTTTGAACTATTTATTTGTGCTTTTACGTTGTATTTTTATATTGTGAACTGTCCTGAGACCTTTTGATGAAGGGCGGTATAGAAATCTAATAAACAGCAATAATAATATTTGTGCTCT